CATTTCTAACCCGAAAAGTGGAGATTGACCCATTTTTGAACCCGAAAACTAGTATTTTTTTATGGTCTCGGGCAGGGGTGTCAATTTCGGGTCACAGGTAGGGTTTGGGTCGAACCCGGAACTGACCCGGGTTCAAACGGGTCAACCCTAACCGACCCGGGTAGACAAACGGGTTGGAAAACCGAACCCGGACCCGACCCGGCGGGTTGCCGGGTTGACCCGACCCGACCCGGTTTGGGTGGCCGGCGCTGGAACGGCGGCGGCGCCGGACGACGGGGGACGCCAGAGCGGACAGCGATGGCAGCGGGCGCGCGGCGCCGGGCCATATTTTCCGGGTCTAACCCGAACTGACCCGTTTTTCAAATGGGTCGGAAATCCGAACCCGGACCCGACCCATTTTTCAAACGGGTTGAACCAAACTCGAATTTTTTCAAGTCGGATTTTGGATCATGTCAAAAATTGACACCCCTAGGTCAGGTTATTCGAATTAATTCTAGAAGATAAATTGGAAAAGGATAGGTGGGCAACCAAACTCTTAATATCAAGCGAGTGCGGTTAAAATAACAACTCTACAAGCGAACAAAAATATGGAGTTTAAGAGGTAAATGATAGATAGATCAACACATAAATATCGAGTGATTGAGATTGATAATGATAAATAGAAAACAATCATTTAATATTAAGAGATTATAGGAAGTAACATAGACCATGGAAATAAGTAATTTAAAAAAAAATATTTGCATATAATACACTAAACATTTTTTATTTTTTATTTTTTTATTTTTTTTTATTTTTTTTTATTTTATTTTTATATAATACACTACCATGAACCTAATGTAAAATTTAAAATATAAGAATCAAGAATTATGATTCTTTTCGTCATTATCATAAATAGTTAGTATAAAATTAATCACGACAAGAGAACATTTAAAAATAATTGAAATACAGAATTCTTCTAATCTCATACAAAGTTAAGGCTTTATTTGTTAGAACATTTAAAAAATAATTTTGGAGATAACCAAATAAGCCAGATTGTTAGAATAAATTCTAGGATATTGGAAAATAAAAGGTGGGCAAGAAAACATTTAATATCAAGCAAGTATTTTTTAAAATGATGGCTATACAAGTGAACAAAAAATGGAATTTAAGAGGCAAAATGATAGGTATACCAACAAATAAATATTAGCATATTAAGATAAATAATGATTGTTGCATCCTGTAATATTCGCAGCTGTAGAGAGATATGGAGTTTGCGTCGAAGTTTTTCTATGAAGATCTAGTACACATGCAAATAAGAGAGACGGGTGCAAGCAACATAAGTGACACCAAAATTTTTATATGAAAAATCCTGAAAAGAGGAAATACTAGTGGTGTCAATATTTGACACGACCCGAAAACCAGACTCAAACCCTACCCGAAAATTTCGGGTTAGGGTCAACCCGAAAATTTCGGGTTAGGGTCAACCCGAAAATTTCGGGTTAGGGTCAACCCGAACCCAAAATGGGTCGGGTTCGGGTTTAAACAACTTCACCCGTTTCAAAAATCAGGTCGGGTTCGGGTTGACCCTTTGACCCAAAATTGACCTGAAAACCCGTTTTTGACCCGACAAACCGAGATTGACCCATTTCTGACCCGATTTTACCCGAAAGTGGAGATTGACCCGATTTTTGGACCCTAAAACTAGTATTTTTTTCATGGTCTTGGGTCATTTGGGTCGTGTCGGGTTGACTTTGTAACATCAGTTTTTGCTCCAGGTTCGTCCGGACGAAGTTGATGTCCGGGACGATCGGTACAGGTTGTTCAAGGAAAACAGTTTTGTTGCATGGTTCGTCGGGACGAAAGTTGGTTCGTCTGGACGAAAATTCTCCAAAGGACAAGTCGCCGGGGACGTTATTAATCTCGTCTGGACGAAATTCGTCCAGAGCCACTTCGTCCGGGACGAAGTTTCGATCGTCCGGGACGATCAGTCTGGATATATATAGAAATGAGATATTTTGAAGAGAGAGAAAAGCCCAGGAGAGAGAAAAACAAAGGAAAAAGTGGAAAAGTGGATTTTTGGGCGACGCCGGGCCGTTTTTGTCCGTTGCAGTAGTTCAAGAAATTGGTGTACGCAAGGTAAGGCACATTCCTCCTTTCTCAATTTTCAGAACGGTGAAGTTTGAACGACTTTTCTGTCCGGATTTCGTTTTTGTTAGCGAATTTCGTCCGTATTTTCCGATTGGTTCAGTTTTTACCGCGTAACTTTTGATATGTTTCTGAGGTGCCGAGTGTGCACATTTTGATTATTTTCTGGAGAATTTTGATTGACCCACTAATTTCCGGGTCAACCCGAACCTGACCCGTTTTTCAAATGGGTCGGAAATCCGAACCCGGACCCGACCCATTTTTCAAACGGGTTGAACCAAACTCGAATTTTTTCAAGTCGGATTTTGGATCATGTCAAAAATTGACACCCCTAGGTCAGGTTATTCGAATTAATTCTAGGAGATAAATTGGAAAAGGATAGGTGGGCAACCAAACTCTTAATATCAAGCGAGTGCGGTTAAAAATAACAACTCTACAAGCGAACAAAAAATGGAGTTAAGAGGTAAAATGATAGATAGATCAACACATAAATATCGAGTGATTGAGATTGATAATGATAAATAGAAAACAATCATTTAATATTAAGAGATTATTAGGAAGTAACATAGACCCATGGATAATAATTTTTTAAAAAAATATTTGCATATAATACACTAAACATGAACCTAATGTAAAATTTAAAATATAAGAATCAAGAATTATGATTCTTTTCGTCATTATCATAAATAGTTAGTATAAAATTAATCACGACAAGAGAACATTTAAAAATAATTGAAATACAGAATTCTTCTAATCTCATACAAAGTTAAGGCTTATTTGTGAGAACATTTAAAAAATAAATTTGGAGATAACCAAATAAGCCAGATTGTTAGAAAAAATTCTAGGATATTGGAAAATAAAAGGTGGGCAAGAAAACATTTAATATCAAGCAAGTATTATTGAAAATGATGGCTATACAAGTGAACATAAAATGGAATTTAAGAGGCAAAATGATAGGTATACCAACAAATAAATATTAGCATATTAAGATAAATAATGATTGTTGCATCATGTAATATTCGTGACTGTAGAGAGATATAGAGTTCAGTGTTGAAGCTTTCTATGAAAGATGTAGTATACAGGCAAATAAGATAGAGGGTGCAAGCGACATAATAGACACAAAATTTTTATGTGAAAAATCCTGAAAAGAGGAAAAACTAGGGTGTTGATATTTGACACGACCCGAAAATCTGACTTGAACCCGACCCGAAAATTTCGGGTTATGGTCAACCCAAACCCGAAATGGGTCGGGTTCGGGTTGATCCTTTGACCCGAAATTGACCTGAAAACCTATTTTTGACCCGACGACCTGAGATTGACCCATTTCTAACCCGAAAAGTGGAGATTGACCATTTTTGAACCGAAAACTAGTATTTTTTTATGGTCTCGGGCAGGGGTGTCAATTTCGGGTCACGGGTAGGGTTCGGGTCGAACCCGGAACTGACCCGGGTTCAAACGGGTCAACCCTAACCCGACCCGGGTAGACAAACGGGTTGGAAAACCGAACCCGGACCCGACCCGGCGGGTTGCCGGGTTTGACCGACCCGACCCGGTTTGGGTGGCCGGCGCTGAAACGGCGGCGGCGGACGCGGGGACGCGAGCGCGGCGGGCGGACGCGAGCGGGACAGCGCTGGCACGCGCGGGCCGCGTCGGGCGCGGCCATTTCCGGGTCAACCCGAACCTGACCCGTTTTTCAAATGGGTCGGAAATCCGAACCCGGACCCGACCCATTTTTCAAACGGGTTGACCCAAACTCGAATTTTTTCAAGTCGGATTTTGGATCATGTCAAAAATTGACACCCCTAGGTCAGGTTATTCGAATTAATTCTAGAAGATAAATTGGAAAAGGATAGGTGGGCAACCAAACTCTTAATATCAACGAGTGCGGTTAAAAATAACAACTCTACAAGCGAACAAAAATATGGAGTTTAAGAGGTAAATGATAGATAGATCAACACATAAATATCGAGTGATTGAGATTGATAATGATAAATAGAAAAAACATCATTTAATATTAAGAGATTATAGGAAGTAACATAGACCATGGAAATAAGTAATTTAAAAAAAAATATTGCTATAATACACTAAACATTTTTTTTATTTTTTTATTTTTTATTTTTTTTTATTTTTTTTTATTTTTTTTTTTATAATACACTACATGAACTAATGTAAAATTTAAAATATAGAATCAAGAATTATGATTCTTTTCGTCATTATCATAAATAGTTAGTATAAAATTAATCACGACAAGAGAACATTTAAAAATAATTGAAATACAGAATTCTTCTAATCTCATACAAAGTTAAGGCTTTATTTGTTAGAACATTTAAAAATAATTTTGGAGTAACCAAATAACAGATTGTTAGAATAAATTCTAAGATATTGGATAAAAGGTGGGCAAGAAAACATTTAATATAAGCAAGTATTTTTTAAAATGATGGCTATACAAGTGAACAAAAAATGGAATTTAAGAGGCAAAATGATAGGTATACCAACAAATAATATTAGCATATTAAGATAATAATGATTGTTGCATCCTGTAATATTCGCAGCTGTAGAGAGATATGGAGTTTAGCGTCGAAGTTTTCTATGAAGATCTAGTACACATGCAAATAAGAGAGACGGGTGCAAGCAACATAAGTGACACCAAAATTTTTATATGAAAAATCCTGAAAAGAGGAAATACTAGTGGTGTCAATATTTGACAGACCCGAAAACCAGATCTCAAACCCTACCCGAAAATTCGGGTTAGGGTCAACCTGAAAATTTCGGTTGG